ATATGAGAAAATACAGGTGTATAAGCAAGAACTTAGCAGTAAGTGTCAAGCAGAGGAGCCATCAAGATTACGGATATAGTCCTGGAATGACCAGAACATCGATGACAGTTAAAACCATAAGAGAAAATGTCATTGCCCAGATGGCAGAAGGGAGAAGCTAGCTTTCAATGATCATTTTTTTCTGAGTATAGTTGACACACAATGTTAGTTTCAGGTGGACAACACAGTGATTCAACAACTCTATTTGTTATGCTATGCTCACCACGAGTGTACCTACTATCTGTCACTATATAACACCGTTGCAATACCACTGACCAGATTCCCTATGTTGTACCTTTTATTCCTGTGACTTACTCAGTCCATTACTGGAAGCCTGTCTCTCTCTCTCCCCTTCACCCATTTTGCTTGTTCCCCCATCCCCTTTTCTTCTGGCAACCATCTATTTATAGGTCTGATTCTGCTTTTTGTTTATTCGTTTTGTTTTTTTGGATTCCACATATAAGTGAAATCACATGGTTCCTTGGTTACTCAAAAACTGAAAATAGAAATACTACATAATCCAATTCCTACTGAGTATGTACCCAAAGAAAATTAAAACACTAATTCAAAAAGATATATGTACCCTATGTTTACTGCATCATTATTTACAATAGCCAAAATATGGAAGCAACCCAAGTGTCCATCCATAGATGAATGGATAAAGAAGATGTGGCATGTATACACAATGGAATATCATGCAGCCATAAAAAGGGATGAGATCTTGCTGTTTGCAAAAACAGGGATGGACCTAGAGATATCATGCTGAGTGAAGTGAAGTCAGAGAGAGAAAGACCTATATTCATTTTTAAGGGGCAGATAACTACAAGGACTGGAAAGTGGGTTGGATTCGATGAAATAAGGGTCAACGATAGCCCTGCCAGAAAAGAGACAATGTCAAATTGCAGGGGACTAGGGAACAAATAAGAAAGAGAAGTTTAGGGGCACCTGGGTGGCTCAGATGTTTAAGGGTCCCACTCTTGATCTTGGCTCAGGTCATGATCTCAGGGTCATGAGATTGAGCCCAAGTCAGGCTCCGCACTGAGTGTGGAGCCTGCTTAAGATGCTCTCTCTTCCTCTGTCCCTCGTCCTGCTCTCACGGGCTCTCTCTCCCTCTCTCAAAAAAATAAGAAGAAGAAGAAGAAAGAAAAGAAAAAAAGGGAAATCCTTAGGCCAATTAAAAATGCTAGGCAGTGAGGAAAAAGGGAAGAGGGCCATGATAAAGAGAAGTTTCCTTTTTATAATGGTACAGACTTAAACAGGTTTAAAATGGAGAAATGAATATAGAATGGAAGACTTAAGAAAATGAGAACAAAACTGACAGAGCATGGTTCTAGAAGATATGGAAGGAAATGAGAATGTGATTAATAAGACAGGAGGCAAGAATGCCTTTGAAAAAGAGGCAGGATGAAATTGGGGGGGAGGTAAGGTTAGATGGAAATGTGCTAGAAGAATCTGGGAGTAGTGTGGGGTGAAGAGATACCAAGAGAATTCAAAGCTACAATCACTGCATTACCTTCAGAGATAAAGTAGGAGATCAGATCATGAACGTAGGAGGTAGATAAACTGAAGAGAATGGTGAATATCAGAGATAATTACAAAATGAATAGGAAAGGGAGCCTTACCAAAGGCAAAGAAAATAACTGAGAAAAAGTTATGCAAGCTGTATAGATTAGACACAATGGAAAAATTAATATGAAAATATAGCTAGCCTTAATGACGGCAGGTCCTACTTACTTTTAAGGAACTCAAGATAAAGTGGAAGATACAAAGACATACAGATGATTTCAATACGTTATGGCTGAGTACAAGGATAAAGATATATGCTTACAGTTCAACTAGAGAAAGAGAAGAGCCCATGGGAATGAGGGAGAAGATAGTGTTCAGGGTTGTATCCCTAACACCTAAAATAATGCCTGGTATATGGTAGCTGTTCATTAAAATTTTGTTGAATTAATGAATGGTAAAATGTACATCATACAAGAGGCAATTTTCTGCAATGAAAAGTGATACAGAATACAAAAGGTCTGAATGTGGGTTTCCTATATATTAGTAGTGGTATGCTGGCGCTTCTTTCCAAAAAACTTCAATTTCCTCATCTGTAAAACAGGGAAACAAACTCCCTTTCAGAGTTGCTATGAGAAATAAACAAGACAACCAGCAAGTTACATAAAAGAACCTAAGTGAAAACTCCAAGAGGGAGGGCTGTAATCTGATTATAAAACCAACACTTTAGTGACCACCAAGCTACTTTTGCTAATCTGGTTCCTGACACAGGATCCTTTCTGAAGCAGAACACGGGGTTGAAGAAGACAACACTCCAAGATGGGGGTCAAAAATCCTGTCATCTACTACCATATAATGCTCAAGGACAATAGAAAGAGAAACTGTTTACACGTCATGATGACCAAGTTCTTAGTATGTACAGAAAATGAAACCAGAGGTAGATACGTCAAAGTTGCAAAATAGTTTCTTTTTTGCTTTTCTCCAAACAGTAGTTTTGATTACATAACTTAAACACATTTTAAATATTGGACCTGATAACAGATCAAGCAAATTATAAAATACAGACACGTTATGATAATTAATCATAGACTCTAAACTCCTCTGTTAAGAATTAACTAAGAGCCTAATGAAAATAGAATTTGATCAGTTAGTATTTGCTAGGTCATGTTTACATGCTTTCATATTTTATTAAATCTTTAATTCACACAACAAATCTATCAGGTAAGTAGTAAGTTTATCCCCATTTTGCTGCAAGGAAATAGGGGCACAGAGTTGCTAAATAACTTGCCCAAAGTCACACAACTAGGAGGTGGCAGAGCTTAGGTTCCACCTATAGTCAGTCTGGTTCCATAGTTCTTAAGCATTGTACAGTAAAACAAGTCTTCTGGAATGGCCTGGCTATAGGTGTCATTGTCAAGGTATCAACTTCTAGGGGCAACTATCACTTCTAATTTAAAAGCCACATCTCTGAGATCAGATGCCCTCACACATTCTGTCATTATAACTGTTATTACAAACTGCTGTGACAACAGTTTCTAACTCACCATGTGGTTAGAGAGGGCTTCCCTAGCATGCAATCATATACCTATTTCTATAGGCATCTGGGAGGCTGGACTGTATCCATGCACACAGAGAGAACTAAATAAGAGCTGATGCTCCCTGCATGCAAATGAACTGTTATATATGTAACCCAAAACACAGGGATTTTCATATTAAAGGACAATCTATAAAATGAATCACATGTCCCTACGCTTATCATGAATATTCAGAGACCTCATATTATATAAACATAAAAATGTCTTAGATTTATGTCAGTAAATATTTTAAAAATTTCCTTCAACTACAAGATATAAATGCTCATGACAAAGTAAACATATGCCAAAGTTCTCATGAAGCCACATAAGTAAAAAAACATCTTAGCATTCCCATCTCCCATCCTGGCCAATAGCAAACGCTTCACAAAGTCTCTAACTCTTCCATTAGTGCTCACAGAATATGCATACTTTAACATACATCTCTAAAAGGAATACAAACATGTAGAAATCCCTTGTAATTTTTATCCTACCTAATATTACTTGATTTCAGATGCTCCTCTGATTTCAAGTTTCCGGTCCTCATCTGGGACTTAAATGAAACGTTTTCTCCCACAATGACTATCTGCAAGAACATCCAATTTCTCATAAGGTAGAATGGTTTAAGACATTCTAGACAGAGGAGAGGAGGAAAATATGAGTTAACCCACAGTAACAGAGAACTCCTTTGAAAAAAATTAAATTATTTTCTCTTTATTTGAAATGACTTAATGTCAAAGGCAAATGAAAAATACTTTTTTCTTTCTGTATTAAGTTTCTTAGAATACACATTTTAAAATGCTGTTTTGTATATTTCTAACATTCTAGTTTTAGATCAAAATATTATCTAATTACCCTCTCTCTCTGAAAGCTGACTGATCTCTATAAGGCAAACAAATACCAGTTACCCAGCAGGGTTCTTGTAGTTCCAAGGTGAGAGTGCCCTGTAGAACACAGGAGCAGATGGTTGGTCCAAACTAGACTGTTATCAACAGAAAAACATGTAAAGCAGTTAAACCACAATTAGAGGTGGTATGAATGATGTTTAAATTCTAAGATCAGCTAAAAATGTCAGGTTTTTAGATCTTTATTCACTCACTGAATGATTTAGTAATGTCTATGTGTGAGATACTGTGTGAAGGACTGGGTATACAATGATGAACAAAATAAATATGGTCCCTGCCATGGATTTAAAATCTAATGGGGACACAGATCCACAAGGAAGGAGGAGGCAATTAAGGGTAGTGGTTAAAAGCATGGGTGTATGTGTCACACTGTCTGCATTTAATGGCATGCTGGGAGTAAGTCTAGCCACAGAAAAACAGCAAAATTTCTTAGGGAAATCAATTTAACTCAAAGATTTGAACAAAGTTAAGTTAATATTATTGGCTGCTGCTAATTGCTTACAATTACAATTACTATGTGGTAGAGTATGTGCTAAATGTTCTATATGCATGATCTCAAACAATGGGAGTATAATGTAATAGTTAAGCGTCTTGTATTCAGACTGCATTCAAACCAAGTTCTGCCAACAACTAGCTGTGTAACCTTAGGAAAATCACTTCTCTATGCCCCAGTTTTGTTAGAAGTAAGGAGATAAATAAACGTACCTACCTCATTGAGATGTTTTGAGGATTAAATGAGGTAATAGAAATAAAGCACTTAGGACTGTTCCTCAGTAAGCCCTCAAAAAATATTAGCTATTTTGTCATTGTTATCATTATAGTTATTAGTCCTCCCAACAATCCTAAGATGTAAGTGCTATTATTATTCTCTTCCTATAAATTAGGAAACTGAAGCTAAGAACTCACACCAATCAATTCTAGAATAAAAGACAAAGTTATAATATTTAACAATAAAACACCAGTCTTTTTTTTTTTTAAGGAGTCATGCCATAAGTTTATTTACAAACATATTGAGTATGTTGAAAAGAGTTTGATCCATTTTTGAAAGAGACTGCACCTCTTAAAATGTTCCTTTTCACATCTGTTTGATGAATTAATTAAAACATCCTTGTTTCTTAAGCAGCTGATGTCTTACTATAAAAAAAGGTGCAGCAAATCCAGATCCCAAGTACAAAGTCATCATAAGTAATAATCGCCACTTGTTTTCCAGTGAAAATGGCAAATTCTTCCCTGGGCCTTCCTCATAGTGGCTCCTACGGACCACAGAGGTTGTGAACCTCCGGATGCTCTGTCCCAACATGGCCTAAAACACCAGTCTTAAGAGAAATTTCAAACATGCAGGAGGTCCATGTGGACTTTGTTCCCTTACTTCGAAAGCATGTATTCAATCTCCAGTGACCTTAGCTGTACATTAGTGGAAGACTGAGAAAATACCACATAAAACCCAAGCTCCTTAGCATTGCTTGTGAAATCCCACAGCTCCCCACTTTATACTTCATGACCTAATAAAACTAAATTACTTTTAGTTCTTAGCTATTTTGTTCCTCACTATCTTTATTCATGCTCTTGCACTCAACCTGGAATGCCCTCCTTCTTCCCTCCTTGTCTGGTTAACCCCTTCTCTCATTAAAACTCAGGAATTTCTATATGAGGGCTTTGGCTTGGCCAAGCACTCCCAGTGCATCTTAACGCCATCTCAGCACTCAGCACTATGATGAAGTTATTTCCTCCACTAGAGACTGTCCTGTGCAACTTTGTATATCCGGTGTCTAACTAGTTTATGCCTGCCAGACTAAAGTATATGAAGTAAATTTCTGTTAATTTGGACTACACAGTCTCTCAAAAGGCCAAGACACTAAAAATTCAGTTTCTCAAAACTGAGAATAGCCTCCAAAGTCTTCCAGGAAAACAATTTCAAAGGTTTTTTTAATCTGATAACCAGGAATAACATACTTCCTTCTAAGTTCAGAAAATCTACCATTTCATACAGTCAGTTTAGAGAAGTCCATGATCATTTACTTGGCTATCCGAAATTCAGATTGTTTTCTGCACATTGGGATCTATATAGTACTTACAATACACTACAGATTTCTACAGAAATACAAAATCTGAGGGGCGCCTAGGTGGCTCAGTTGGTTAAGCATCTGACTTTTGATTTCGGCTCAGGTCATGATCTCAGTGTCCTGGGATCAAGCCCAGAGTCAGGCTCTGTGCTCAGCAGGGAGTTTGCTTGTCCCTCTGCCCCTCCCCTTGCTCGTGCATATGTGTGCTCTCTCTCAAATAAATAAATCTTTTTATTATTTATTTATTTCGGAGAGAGAGAATGAGAGACAGAGAGCACAAGAGGGAAGAGGGCAGAGGGAGAAGCAGACCCCTTGCTGAGCAGAGAGCCCGATGTGGGACTCAATCCCGGGACTCCAGGATCATGACCTGAGCCGAAGGCAGTCGCTTAACCAACTGAGCCACCCAGGCGCCCCTAAATAAATAAAATCTTAAAAAAGAAAAAGAAATATAAAATTTGAAACCTCAACAGAATATGGATAAATACAATAACCCAAGTGAGTTAAACAAGAAATTTAGATTAAGGCTAACTGAATTTAAATTAAAAAAAGAAAAGAAATTTAGATTAAACCAACAATTGGAAGGCTATTCCCCCCCATCTCAATTTTTACATTAGATGAGGTATGCCAAAACAATGGTTTTCGACTCTACTGAACCCAGTGCCTTTGGAGAAAAAAAAATGCATTCTATGTAACAACTCTGTACCTTCTGGAAATAAAATACAAGATAATATTATACTATTTATTTAACACAGTAAAAATGAAAACTAAATGCCTTTTAGGTTAAAAAAAAGGGAAAAATAAAGGAAAGCAATTTTTTTAAAAGATTTATTTATTTGAGAGAAAGAGCATGAGTGGGAGGGGGAGAGGAAGAGGGAGACAGAACCTCAAGCAGACTCAGCACTGAGCGTAGAGGCAGACGCAGGACTTCACCTCACAACACTGAGATCACAATCTGAGCTGAAACTGAGAGGAGGACACTCAATGGACTATGACACCCAGGTGCCCAAAAGAAAAGCAATTTTTAATAAAATTAGCATCTGAATATATAAATGATCAGGTAAGACTACCTTTGAAGACATAATAAAGTAAATGCTTGCACGTACTTATAACAGTAAGAGAAGGTTAATAGAATTCCAAAGACCGAAAAATGAAAGCCAAAATATGAGTAGACACTAGAATTAAAATAAATATTAATATAATAACAGACCAGATGCATTGGAAATGGCAATAAGAGAAAAAAAATGATGTAAGGGCAACAGACAAGACAAAGTACAGAGGAGATTTGAAGAAAACAAGTATGTGACTATATGCTTTGATAGATGACATGGAACAAAAATTAGATTTTAAAAAAAGAGCAAACGGGAGCCTGGGTGGCTCAGTCGCTGACAGTCTGCCTTTGGCTCGGGTCATGATCCTGGGGTCCTGGGATCCAGTCCCACATCAGGCTCCCTGCTCAGCAGGGACCCTGCTTCTCCCTCTGCCTGCCACTTCCCCCTGCTTGTGCTCTCTCCCTCTCTCTGACAAATAAAATTTAAAAAAAAAAAGAATCTATAAATTATTATAGTACATATAGTACTCTCTACTTCTAGGTGGTCTCTGAAATTAAAAAATAAAAGATATACAAAAGTCAAATCTGATTTTCCTACCAAAATAACGTTATTTAGCCCACACTTCCAGAGGTCAGTTTTACCTAATCATGTTCCTTCTTTATTATTTTCCTATCTGACTGAAGAAAGGGGTGGTATATTAAAATCAAGTAATTTAACTGGATACAGATCACGGAGGGCATACGGAAGATTGTTATATTAATGGCCCCCAATGAATCACACACAACCTGGCATCTGCACCCTATTAATTCCCTTCACATACTGACCCCTAGGCTGGCCATGTGACTTATTTTGGCCAATCGGACTTCACCAAATGTGACAGAAACAGGCTTGATAAGCACTTGTGCATTTGAGCCTGCCCTTTTGCTAACACCATCATCATGTTATGAAGCCAAGGACAACAGACCACTTGGGAAAAGGAGACCCAGTTTTCCCACCTATCACATTCATCTCAGTTGAGGGTCCAGACATTTGAGTGAGGTTGTCTTGGACCATTCCGGTCAGGTTGACCCCCTGGCTGACTGAGTTATCCAACTTGACCTAGATGGTCTGAAACATGGGAAACCTTTGGAGATTTTGAGCAAACAGGTGACATGATCTAATCTAGATTTTAACAGGTTCAACCTAGCTGCTCTATTGAGAATTAACTGGCTTGGTCCAGTAGGCAGCAGTAAAGATGGCTGTCATCAGACTCTAACCAACAACATTTGTTGCATGAAGGAAAAAAAAGAGAGAGAGAGAGAGAGAGAGGGAAAATAAAAAATGATTCCTGGCCAGCTAGAACAGTGGATTTGCCATTTACTAATAAAAGGAGGATGATACAAGTAGGTATATGGAGAAGAGTCCATTTTGGGACAACAGTGCTTGGCACATAGTATTATATAAGCTCTTGTTATTGTTTTTGATAACGATGGTAATTTTGAGACGATTATTATATATCCAAGGGAATGAACTGATAGGTAGTTAGAGTCTGGGGTTTCAAGGAAAGGTTTGGACTACAGATATTCATTTGGGAGTCATCAGGATACACGCATACCTTGTTTTTGTTTTTGTTTTTTTTTAAGATTTTATTTATTTTTCAACAGAGAGAGAGAAAGCGAGAGATGGAACACAAGCAGGGGGAGTGGGAGAGGGAGAAGCAGGCTTCCCGCTGAGCAGGGAGCCCGATGTGGGACTCGATCCCAGGACCCTGGGATCATGACCTGAGCTGAAGGCAGACGCTTAATGACTGAGCCACCCAGGCACCCAAGGCATACCTTGTTTTTATTGTGCTTCACAGATACTGCGTTTTTTACAATAGAAGGTCTGTGGCAACCCTGTGTCCAGCAAGTCTGTTGTCACCATTTCTCCAACAGCATTTGCTCACTTCACTTCTCACAATATTTCAAACTTTTTCATAATATTATTATTATACTTGTTATGATATTCTGTGATCAGTTATCTTGGATGTTATTGCAATTGTTCTGGTGGCACCACAAACCATTCCCATATAAGACAGCAAACTTAATCAACAAATCTGTGTGTTCTGACTGCTCCACCAACTGGCCACTCCCCCATCTCTCTCCCTCTCCTTGGGTCTCCCTATTCCCTGAGACACAGTATTGAAATTAGGCCAGTTAATAACTCTACAATGGCCTCTAAGTGTTCAAGTGAAAAGAGTAGCATGTCTCTTACTTTAAATCAAAGGCTAGAAATGATTAAGCTTAGTGAGGAAGGCAGAATGAAAGCCTAGATAGGCCAAAAAGCAAGGCGTCTTGCACAAAACAGCCAACCTGTACACTCAAAGAAAAAAGTTCTTTGAAGGAAATGAAAAGTGCTGCTCCAGTGAACACACAAATGATAAAGCAAAAGAGACTTACTGCTGATGTGGAGAAAGTCTGAGCGGTCTAAATATATCAGGCCAGCCACAAACTTCCCCAAGCCAAACCTTAATTCGGAGCAAGGCCTTAACTCTCTTCAATTCTATGCAGGCTGAGAGAGGTGAGGAAGCTGAGGAAGAAAATCTGAAAGGTAGCAGAGGCTGGTTCATGAGGTTTAAGAAAAGAAGCCATCTCCATAAAATAGAAGTACAAGCTGAAGCAGCAGATGCTGATATAGAAGCTGCACTAACTTATCCAGAAGATCTAGCTAAGATAAATTCATGAAGGTGGCTAAACAACAGACTTTCCATGTAGACAAAACAGCCTTATATTGGAAGAAAATGCCATCTAGGACTTTCATAGCTAGAGAGGAGAAGTTAATGCCTGGCTTCAAATCTTCAAAGTACAGGCTGACTCTCTTATAAAGGGACAATGCAACTTGTAACTTTAAGTTGAAGCCAATGCTCACTTCCCATTCCAAAAACCCTAGGGCCCTAAGAACTACGCTAAATCTACTCTGCCTGTGCGCTCTATGAATGGAACACCAAAGCCTGGATACATCACATCTGTTTACAGCATGGTTTACTGATATTTTAAACCCACTGTTGAGACCTACTGCTCAGAAAGAAAGATTCCTCTCAAAATATTACTGCTCGTTGATAAAACACCTGGTCACCCAAGAACTCTGACGGAGATGGACAAGATTAATGTTGTTTTCATGCCTGCTGACACAACATCTTTTCTGTGGCCCATGGATCAAAGAATAATTTCAATTAAAAAATACATTTCAGAGGCACCTGGGTGGCTCAGTCAGTTAAGTGTCTGCCTTTACTCAGGTCATGATCCCAGGGTCCTGGGATCAAGCCCCACATTGGGCTCCCTGCTCCTCGGGGAGCCTGCTTCTCCCTCTCCCTCTGCTGCTCCCCCTGCTTGTGCTCTCTCACACTCTCTGTCAAAGAAATAAATAAAATCTTAAAAAATATGTATTTCATAATAAGGCTATAGCTGCCATTGATAGTGAGTCCTCTGATGGGAATCACTATCTGGACAAAGTCAACTGAAAACCTTCTGGAAAGGACTCCCAGTCCTAGATGCCATTAAGGAAGTTGAGATTCATCTGAAGAGGTCAAAATATCAACATTAACAGCAATTTGGAAGAAGCTGATTCCAACCCTCATGGATGACTTTGAGGAACTCAAGACTTCAGTGGAGGAAGTAACTGTAGATGTGGTGGAAATAGAACGAGAATTAGAAGTGGAGCCTGAAGATGTGAGTGAATCGCTATAATGCACTGATAAAGCTTGAACAGATGTGGAGTTGGTTCTTAGGATAGATGAGCAAAGAAAGTAGTTTCATGAGATGGACCCTATTGGTGAAGATGCTGCAAAGACTGCTGAAATGACAACAAATGATTTGGAATATTACATACACTTAGCTGATAAAGCAATGGCAGAGTTTGAGAGGACGGACTCCCAATTTTGGAAGAAGTTCTACTGTAGATAAAATGCCATCAAACAGCATTGCATGCCACAGAGAAATCATTTGGAAAGGAAGAGTCAGTTGAGGTGGTAAACTTCACTGCCTCATTTTTTAAAAACTGCCAACCCCAACCTTCAGCAACCACC